GTACAGAGACATGGAAATAGAGAAACTGAAATCCCAAGGCATCAGAACTGCAGCTCTGGTGTGGATGGCAGGGCTGGGTTTGGCTCCCCGAACACAGAGCAGGCATGTGGATGTTAATTGATTCATTAAAGGCTGTTAGGCTGCAATCTGTGCTGGAAGAGGAGAACTGGGCCTCTTTTATCTCCTGGCATGGGTTGAGCAGGGCTGGGGCTGCTGTGATAGCCCTGATCCAGAGCTTTGGGTACAGCCACAGGCACAGGGAGAGCAGGGCAGGTCACTGCGCTCAGCACCAGCCCAGCTCTGCAATTCAGGCTGGGGTTTCTGGGCTTTATCTGTCAAAATGCCGTGAGTGACTCGATTCCCCACGGAGCAAAATTGCCCTGCTCCCACAAAAGAGGAGTTGTCACCTTCAGTGAGTGACCCTGCTCAATCCAAGGCTGCAGGCAGAGCCCGTTTATTTTGTTTGTGGAAGCTCAGAATGAATGGAATTTGAGATGAAAGCCTCCAGCTGAGGAATCACCCGTGTCCAGCAGCCCGAGGTTTGACAAAGCTGTCCCAGCGTGGGATTGTCCTCTCCAGGGTGTCCTGGCAGCTGTGGTGGCTCCGAGGGCTGGGATGGGCTGGACTGCACAGCCCAAGGGACAGTGTCCGAACCCAGACTGTCCCCAGAGGAAATCAGAGCACAAATCTCTGTTCAGGGGTGGCACTGCCTTGTGGCTGATATGAGACCGATATCCTGCCTTGGGTGGGCTCTGAGCTGCCCCCAGTGCTCGCTGCTGCTTTCCTTGGATCCCTGCACCCAGGATACTCTTTCCACAGCAATCAGGGGCAGGTAATTGAGGAGTTTGCACAGAGCCAAAGATGAGCTCTTGGAGGTCTCTGTGCTCTGTGGTGTGCACAGCGCTGGCTCTGAGCTCTGCCAAGCGTTTCCCAGGAGGCAAAGCCGCTGATCTGTTTCTAATTCCTCCTCCTGCAGAGAATCCTCAGGGATCCTCCTCCCAGCCATGTTTTTTTCTCCCTCACCCACCTTCCAGCCCCCAGAATGAATTCAGCCCTGGAACATCACAGAGATGTGTCCCCAGTTTAGTGTGACAAACCAGCGGGACGAGACCGTGCGAGCGCAAAGGATGGAACAACAAATCACAGCGACATCAGCCCTGGGAGCAACAGCCCAGCTGGGTCTGGTGTGGAACAGGCTCCCAGGAGAGCCTGCAGAGACACCAGGAAAATTAATTACCACTGGATGGGTTGAGGAGAGGTTTTTGCTGATTCACGAGGGATTCACAAGGCTTCGAGAAAAGTTTTGGTTTCTTTTTCTTCAGCTGAGAGACACTGGATGAGCAGCTGTTGGGAATCTCCCTGTCCCACTGTATTTCCTGGAGATCTGGGTATCCACCCTGCAAAACAGCTGCTCATCAAAACAACAAATCAAAGCCACATCGGCCCTGGGAGTGGCAGTCCAGTGGGATCTGATGTGGAACAGGCACCCAGGGGAGCCTGCAGAGATACCAGGAGCATTAATGACCAGTGGAACACGTGGAGGGGCTGAGGAAACATTTTTGCTGATTCCTGATGCTGCAAGAAAAGTTTTGGTTCCTTTACCTTTAGATGGGAGTAACTGGATGAGCAGCTGTTGGGAATCTCCCTTTCCACTGTATTTCCTGCAAGATCAGGGTGTTCAAGCAGGAATTTTCAAAGACACACAAATTTCTGTCCAGGAAAGGCATTTTCAGCCCTGCTCCCCCCATGAATCCTCTCCCCAGCACAAACCAGCCGGGCTCTGGTGAGAACCAGTTCCAAACTGGTGTTTGTGGTGTGCTCTGCCCAGCTGGGAGCTGGGACCTCAGAAATGAGGGGTTCATATGGATAATACCAACAAATATGTGCCAAATTGGCAGGGAAATGCCTGTTTGATCCCATTAACTCCCCAAAAACCTGGGTGGGTGTAATTGCCATGCTCACCCCATTCCTGTTAGTCCTTTTCCCAAGAAAGGATTTTGGAGAGGATTCTTCCATTCGTTGATGTGAATTCTCTGCCATCCTTAAGCCAAAACAAAACTTTCAAGCCCCACCTCGATTTGGAAGAGTTTTTACCCCAAGGCTGAGGTCCAGGCAGGTATTGGATGCGTGACCCAGCTGCTTTGCAGGATTTCACCAGAATTATTGCTTTAATTGCTCTTCTCAAGGCCCTCAGCTGCCAGAAGTTTCTGGTAGATCTGACCCAGAGCTGCTGCTCTGCTCCAGGTGAAGATTTCTGCTGAAGGGAAGGGGAGGATGGGGCAGTGCCCCCCTGCAGGGTGTGTGGGGTGGGAAGATGAATTTTTGGCATTTGCAGTTGAGTCAGTGTTAAGAAATGCCATTAAAATTTATACTAGCCTTCAAAAAAAGGTATTTTTAAGGCAGTTTGATGTTGGAGAAGAAAACAACAATCTCCTTTGTGTGTAAAAGTCACAGGGGCACTTGCTGTTGAACCAATGTTAAAAAATATGATTAAAAATTACGATGTCCTTCAAAAAATATATTTTTAAGGTAGTTTGATACTGGAGGAGAGAGCAACCAGCTCCTTTGTGTGTAGAAATCATGGGGTGTTCTCCACCCGGGTATGGCCAGACTGGGATGGAGGAAGCTGGGATGAGGTTTCCCACTGCTCCTGGGTCATTTATGATTCTCCTGAGGTTTTTGTAAGAAAAAGAGCCCAAGCTCTGATTCCTGGGCTTTCCTGGGAAGCAGCCCCGGGAGCTCAGCAGGAGTTGTGCCCTCTCCTCGCAGGTCATTGTGGGCAGCATTTTCGAGGTCATTTGGGCTGCGGTGAAGCCGGGAACGTCCTTTGGCATCAGCGTCCTGAGAGCCCTGCGGCTGCTGAGGATTTTCAAAGTGACCAAGTAAGTGTGGCTCCCTCTGAGCACCCCAGGAGATCTGTGTCACCAGCCCCAGGGCTGGGAGGAGTGCTCTCCATGTTTATCAACAATAAATGAATGATTAGATGGCTCAAAAAGGTAAAAATAATAAAAAACCCAGTGTTCTGGAGTCCTGGAGCAGCTGGCACAAAATCTCTATGTGTCTGCACCTCCAGAGGCTCCACTGGGGGACAGGAGCAGATGGAAACTGCAGGTGGAGAATTCCCCTTTCCTTTACTGGGCAGGTGGAAATTTAGGGAATTCCTGAGCTTGAACTCTGATTCCTGCATTCCTGTACTTGCATCCATAAGGAATTTTAACAGTCCTTTCCATTCTTTCATTTCTTTCTTTGCTTTCTTTCCTTCTTTCTTTTCTTTCCTTTCTTTCCTTTCATTCCTTCCCTTTCTTTTTCCTTTCCCTTTCTTTTCTCTCTCCCTTTCTTTTCTCTCTCCCTTTCTTTTCTCTCTCCCTTTCTTTCTTTCTTTCTTTTCCTTCCTTTCTTTCCCCAGGGTCCCATACAGTTTTCTCCACCTTTGTCCTGCAGCCTCCTGAGGAACCAATGTCCTCCTTTACTTTCTCTTTAAGCCCACTTAAAACAAAAATCACATTATTTACTCATATTTTTTGGCAACCCCCCCCAAGTTTCTTCTTTACTAAGCCCTATCAACTTCCCACTGATCTGGTGACAATTCCTTAAATATTTAGGCTCTGGAAAAGCAGCTTCCCTGGCGATTGCTGGGTGCTAATCCCAGGGCTGAGCCGCTGTGTTGACACAAATCGGAAATGTTGCCGCTGCCTGGGCTGGGAATGTCAGAGATTTTCAATCTGGAGCCTGTGAGGTGGAATTTTCACCAAGGCTGCCACAGCTTTCCTGTTGTATTCAGCAAACAGCTCCTGTGCCATTCCCAAACACACCCAGAGCTGTTCCTGCAGCGTTTCTGAACCCTGCTGTGGAAATGACAAATTTGGCTGCTCCTGCTGTTGTTTCCCACCTGATTTTTTTTACGCTGTTCCCCCCTCAGTTCCCTCTTCTTGCTGTCACTGAATTCTTCTGAGCTGGAAGCAACACGAGTGGGAGCAGCCCTTCCCTCCAAAAATACCCCAAACCACTTTAAAGAGATAAAGAAATTTGGAGCAAAACATTTGCAGTAACCAGGAGCAAGTTTTGTAGCTCCATGGGGCTGATTTGCACCTGCTAATTGTTTCATGCTAATTGTTTCTTGCTAATTATGATTATTCAGATCCCAGCTCTGTGTGTAGTTTGTTGTGTTGTTTGTTGGCCTGGGGGATTAAATTCAAACATTAAATTCTGTAAATGTCCAGCAAAAAAAAGGTGGGTACCTGCACCAGAAATGTCACAGAAATTTGATTTACCTTTGCAGTAATTCCGTGTATGGAAAACTCCTGGGTTTGCAGCAAATGCAGAGCAATTATCAGCTCTCCAGAGCTGATTTTCTCTTACTATTTCTTATTATTTTCTCCAGAGCTGCTGGGATTTGCTGGTGCTGATTGTGTGTTGTACTTTTGAATGTTTTTGCAAGTTAAAATGTTATTTTTTGGTGAGTTTTGACCTTTCACTGCATCAGCACAATAAAGGGATGGATCAGGGAACAATTTAGGTTGGAAAAAACCTTCAGGACCATCGAGCCCAACCAGCCCTGCCAAGGCCACCATTTCCCCCCTGTCCCCAAGTGCCAYATCTGCAGCTTTTTTAATCCTTGCAGGGCTGGGGACTCCACTGTTCCCTGCACAGCCTGGCCAGGGTTTCACAACCCTTCAATGAAGAAATTCCTCCTGATGCTGCCCCAAACCTCCCTGGCATTTTGAGCCATTTTTCCCTTGTTCCTTGGGAGAAGGGGTTTAATTCACCCACCCAAGCCGAGGGCTCTGCTCCTTCCCAGGACAGCAAGGGATGATCCTGAGCCACTGCTGCTGAACACTCCTGCCCTGATTAAGAGGATTTTTCACCAGACACGACAGAATGGAGCTCATTGCGTGACCAGAGCCAGGTCCCTGCAGCTCCCACGGGGATCCTGCATTATCCCAGTGCCTGAACACACAGCTCAGTGCTTGCCTGACTCATGAGAGGCTCCACAGAGCTGGCAGCAGGCACAGATTGCTGCCCACCCCCTCTCATGCCACTAAAAACATCCCGACCCTCGGTAGTTTTCTTCATTTTCCGTCTTTTTCACGGCGATTTTTGTCTGAATCTCCCTGCCCTGGTTTGTTCTGCCTCTGTGTTTAGCAGGAAACAGCTGCAGTGCTCCTGCTTTGAATAATCAGCAGGATTGGGATGGATTGGGATTGGGATTTTGGTTCCCATGTCCCAAGTGAGTGTGGCAGCAGAGTGAAATGGTTAAAAAGTGACAGCAGGACGAGGGGACACAGCTTGAGGGGCTAAAATCAGTGAGGAGGGCAAGGACCAAACAGCTTTCCATGGTTTTTCCGTGTGATGACAGAGCTGAACAGGGGCTGGTTCTGCAGAAATCAACTTTGGTTATATCCCAGTGCTCTGTGCCAAGGGGGATTGGAGCTGAGCTGCTCCAAGGCCAGGCAGAACCTCCCCAATTCCAGATATTTTGGATTAACTTCAAGGTGTGAGCCTCTGGTGTGGGACAGGGTTGGCCTGGAGCCTTTTGTCAAACAGCAATTCCTTCCCCTCCTCCAAGGAGAGCAGCTCAGCCCCTTCAACATCAGCACTGACCCTGAGCAGACTTGGTTGAATTTACTCAAAATTGAAGATATTCTCCCAAAAGACAAAATTGTCCCCCAAAACCTCTGTCCCTGTGTTATGGAGGTGATTTTTCTTGGAATGGGATGCAGAATCCTGCTTTTCCTGTAGGGAAACCTGGGGGGGGGGTTTGGTTCTCCCAGCTCCATCTGGGGGAGGGAAGAAGGGTAAAACAGAGATAAAAGGAAAGGGTGGTGTTTGTCCTCACCTGACTGAGCTTCTCATGGACTCCATGGAATCCTTCTGCTGGGAAGGGGCTCAGGGTGTGGGTCTGTCCCTAAACTGCAGCTGGAGGAGGCTCAGGGAACAACAAATTGTGTGCTGCTGCAGGGAATGGCTCTGGGTGACAGTTCCCGGTGCCAGAGGTGGGAACAAGAGAAGCTGTTGGAGGAAAAGAGTGACAAATTCCCTCCATGGCCTCAGAATCACAACTTCAGCAGGGAAAGGGCTCTAAATCCCTGCTTTGCTCCTGCCTGATCCAGCCCTGTGTGCCACTCCTTTGTGCCCAAAAGGAGCTTGTCAGAGGTCTTCCTGCATTTTTGGATTCATTGGTTTTCCTCACACAAACACTTCCAGCAGGACAGGGAAGAGCTGTTCCCAGCACCCTCCTGGAATGTGCCAGGAGCTGTCCCGAGGGATGGGGAGATCAAACCAAACCATCCAAAAATCAGCTCCTGGTCAGGTGTGACTGGGATGGGCCATTCCCTCCTGCCAGGCTGGGTTTAACATCCTGGATTTGTTTCCATGTTCTGAGGCCATTCCTTGGTCCTGGATGTGTGTGAGGCTCCTACAGGAGTGTTGAAAATGTGGGGATTTAAATCTGGGTGATATTTGCACTGGAGGGTTTGGAAGAAGACCCTGCAAAGATGTCCAGGTTGTAGTGAGGGGTTTATTCCTGATTTTATTCCCGATTTTATTCCTGATTTTATTCCTGATTTTATCGCTGATCTGTGTCCAACGGAGGCTGGGGCTCGCTGTCCCCTTTTCCCAGCCTCACCTTCATTGATAAATCCCTGCTTCTGACACCCCTCCTGACTGCTGTGCCGGATGAGGAGATGCCAAAAGGTGGAAAAATCCCAGGAAGAGGGTTCCCGAGGAGCTAATCCCAACATTCCCTGCCTGTTCCATGTGGGTGCACCCACACCAAGTGACCGTCTGTGCCCTCCCACAAATTTTGAGTAGAAGGGAGTTTAAAGGCTCTGATATTCCTTGTCTTTATTTTCCTTTTTTTTTTTTAATAATAAAAAATACCAGAATCACAAAATCAGTGAGGTTGGAAAAAACCTTCAAGATCTCTAAGTCCAAGCATTCCCACAGCCCAGCCAAGGCCACCATTGACCATGTCCCCAAGTGCACATCTTTGAAATGGGGCCTCGATTAAAACAGGGGGACATTGCTTTGTTTGTTAAGTTTCTTATAAAAGAATCCTAAATAAATACACTAATTCCTAAAAATCTATAAAACTTATACCCATGCCCTGGGCAGCTTTTCTCAATACCTGACCTCCCTTTCCATGACCAACATCCACCCCAAACCCGCCCTGGTGCCGCTCGAGGCCGTTTCCTTTTTCCTGTCCCACAGAGATAAATTCCCGTGAATTTCTCCCTTTCCCCATTGATGTTCTCCCTTGGCTGCTCTGCTCTCCAGGTACTGGAATTCCCTGAGGAATCTGGTGGTCTCCTTGCTCAACTCCATGAAATCCATCATCAGTTTGCTCTTCCTGCTGTTCCTGTTCATCGTGGTCTTTGCCCTGCTGGGGATGCAGCTCTTCGGAGGACAGTAAGGAATCTTCTGGAAGGGTTCTTTTAGGGCTGGGTCCTAAAACCACTCTGAGGTGGTTTAGAGGGAAATAATTCATGTTCTGCTGTTTTCCCTGGAGCTGAATTCTTTCCTGAGGAAGAAGGACACAATTCTGAGCTCCTCCATCACCCCATGGTCCCCAGCACACCCAGAGCTGAAACAGGGCTGGGGCAGGCAGCACTTTTCTTTCTGCTCCTTTTCCTGATAACCAGAGTACCACTGGATTATCCACTTGCAATATTTTCTATTTTCCTGCTGGAAAACACAACTTTTTTTTGATCTGATTCTCCTCCTTAGAAACATCAGTTGTGGTGGATTTTGCAGCAAGAGCCATCACAGTGTTATCAATGTTATCATTTCAACTCCAGCAGCAGCTCTGAACTGAAATAATGAAAAGGTTTTGTTTGGTCTTTTTCTTTCTTTTTTTTCCCCCAGTCGATCCCAGTTTTATCTTTAAAATATTAAAAAGAAATTATCTGCTAAGAGGGTAATTTCAATTTGGACTTTCACACACTTGAGGATGAAAACATCTTGGAATGGCTCGTTCTGCAAAATCATTGGAGACTTTTGATTGTTCCTTTTAATTGGGGGTGAAAATGAATTTCAGAGCCTTGGAATTTTCTCTGGGAATGAAATTGAGTTTGTGCTGATGGTTCTCTTCAACATTTTCTGAGATGTTCCCCACTGAGCTTGCCTGGGGTGTTATTGCCAGGTGGAAAATGCTGCTGCCTGAGTTGGTTTATGGGATGTTAAAAGGTGTTTTGGGTTTGCCTGGGAGCTGTTTGTCCCTCCTCACTCTGGTTTTTAATTTTCTCTTCTCTCCAGGTTCAATTTCCAGGATGAAACTCCAACCACGAATTTCGATACCTTCCCTGCTGCCATCCTCACTGTCTTCCAGGTAAAGCCACACTTTGTCCTGGGGGAGTGTTAGAAGTGAAATTCCTGCATATTTCTTGCTGCTTAGGGAGGGCAAAAAAGTCCCCCAAAACCTGTGGGATTTAGGAAAGGAGAAGTCCTTCCTTCTCATATTCTTTATTTTACTTCATGCATCACAAAAAATCAAAAATCAAATTGAAAATCCAAGCTTTGATATTAAGGAAAGATTTCTTGCTAGGGGAAATGAAAACCTGATAAACCAGATATTTCTGTGCTGAATTAAAATCAGTGCATGCCCTTTGTCTTCTCCAGTCCCTGCCCATGGAGTTGCACCTCTGGCAGATGCGGTGTTTGGATTTAAAAACCTGATCTAGCGGTTGTTTTTTGATTTGAAAACCTGATTTTGAGGCTGTTTTCTACCTGTCTTTTTTTCACCCCGTCCCATGGCCAGCCCTGCCCAGACCCCCCAACAGCCCCACCCTGTCCATCCCTGGCAGCGCTGTCCAAACGCTCCTGGAGCTCTGGCAGCCTCGGGGCCGGGAYCATTCCCTGGGGAGCCTGGGCAGTGCCAGCACCCTCTGGGGACACAAGAACCTTTCCCTGCTCTCCAGCCTGAGCCTGCCCTGGCCCAGCTCCAGCCGTTCCCTGGCTCCTGTCCCTGTCCCAGAGCAGAGATCGGAGCTGCCCCTCGGGAGGAGCTGCAGCCCYGGGGAGCTCTGAGCTCAGTCTCTGCTGCAGMTGAACAATCCCAGTGCCCTCAGMTGCTCCTCRTGGGCCCCTCCAGACCCTTCCCYRTCCCTGTGCCCTCCTTTGGACATTCTCCAACACCTTTAGGTCCTTCTKTAATTGAAGCACCCACATCTGCTCTAGCACAGAGCGGGACAATCCCGTCCCTCCCCCTCCAGTGATGCTGTCCCTGGTGTTCCTCAGTGTCCATCCCTTCCCCAGGGAYATTCCTGGATGGGATCACCCAGCCTGGCTCCCCATAATCTCTCTTCCCTTGGAGTGACCCTCTCTCTGTCTCTCTCCCTCCCCTCTCTGGCTGTGCAGATCCTGACAGGGGAGGACTGGAACGCTGTGATGTACCACGGGATCGAGTCGCAGGGTGGGGTTCGCTCAGGGATGTTCTCCTCCATCTACTTCATTGTCCTCACCCTCTTTGGGAACTGTATCCTTCCATGGCTGTCCTCAGGGGCACCGTGTGCGCTGCATCCCTCCCAGGCTGCCAGAAATTCCTGGTTTGCCCCAAATTCCCACAGCCTTATGCTTTAAAATCCAAATTATGGCCATGCTTTGCTCCTGCCAGCACTTGGGGTAAGACGTGAAGGTAAGTTGTCTAAGCCAGTATTGCTTATCCTGCAGTGAAATAAGAAGTTCTAATTTAATTTAATGAAATTTCACTTTAATTGTTATGTTATACCTTGAAAATATTCTCTCATGAGCTCTTTTATGTTGTGGGAAAAATAACTGGAGTTAGGTCAGAGCAGGACCTCTGGAATTTGAGTTTTCCCAAATGATTTGTGCTTGGTCAGGGAAAGGAAGGGTTGGGGTGGGTTTGGTGGAGATGAGAAGATGATGATGGAGATGAGGAGATGATGATGGAAATGAGGAGATGATGATGGAGATGAGGAGATGATGATGGAAATGAGGAGATGATGATGGAGATGAGGAGATGATGATGGAAATGAGAAGATGATGATAGAGATGAGGAGATGATGATGGAAATGAGGAGATGATGGTGGAGATGAGATGATGGTGGAGATGAGGAGATGATGGTGGAATCAGGGGATGATAGTGGACATGAGGAGATGATAGTGGACATGAGGGGATGATAGTGGAGATGAGGGGAGTCTTCTTTGGGCTGGGAGCTGTAGGAACAGGGAGGGGTGCAGTATTGGGGTTAAAGACGGGATCCTGCTGGAAAGGGCAGCCCAGCTGGAGTGGAGGTGACAAAATGTAGGACACCAGCACCCACGGGTGGCACAGCAGCGCTCCAGCCCTTGGGCTGTGCTGGAATTCTGTGCCTCAGATGAGGAGCAGAGCCAGGGGAGAGCAGGAGCTGTCACACAATGTCACTGACATCCCCGGGGTTGATGTCATTCCTAGAGCCACTGCAGTGATGCTCAGACATCTCACAGCAGCCAGCCCCTTCCCAAAACACTGGGCTTTGGGAAACTGGGTCAGTGGAGAGCAGGGAGGGGGGAAATGATGCCTTAGGATTTTCAGTTTCTGTATTTTCATGTATCTGTGTTCTTGGACTTCTCCAGTGCACAGCACTGAGCTCCTGCTCTCCCATCTTTAGACAAAACAATTCCTCTCTGGGCCTGAAATCCAAGGACACTTCACTGCCTCAGAGCCCCAAAATATGGAACAACAGAGAATTGGGGGAGCAGGTTTGGGATGCGTGACATCATCACCTGAAGGTCTCATTGGAGAATTGGGGCCTGATGTGTGAATGAGACAGAACTGATAAAAGGTGAAGATCTCATGACTCGGGGTCCATTTTGGGGGTAGCCTCAGGAAGGGGCTTTGTCTGCCCTCAGTGTACCAGGGGGTCTGTTAGGCCTGGATTAAGGTTGTCTGTTCTCATTCTCTTAAGTTTGTCTGGCCTCTTAAGTTTTCCTGAAGAACAAAGGTGAATTGATGCTGGATTTTTTTTTGCTCCTTGCTGTACTCAGTGCTTGCTTGGAATCCATTTGCATTTTCAAGGGATTACTGCAAGGAAAGTTTGTTTTTCTAAGTCAGAACTGCCTCATGTTACATTTCCAGACCCAGGGAGTCTGTGTGGAACCAGAAACGNATGAGGGGAGTCTTCTTTGGGCTGGGAGCTGTAGGAACAGGGAGGGGTGCAGTATTGGGGTTAAAGACGGGATCCTGCTGGAAAGGGCAGCCCAGCTGGAGTGGAGGTGACAAAATGTAGGACACCAGCACCCACGGGTGGCACAGCAGCGCTCCAGCCCTTGGGCTGTGCTGGAATTCTGTGCCTCAGATGAGGAGCAGAGCCAGGGGAGAGCAGGAGCTGTCACACAATGTCACTGACATCCCCGGGGTTGATGTCATTCCTAGAGCCACTGCAGTGATGCTCAGACATCTCACAGCAGCCAGCCCCTTCCCAAAACACTGGGCTTTGGGAAACTGGGTCAGTGGAGAGCAGGGAGGGGGGAAATGATGCCTTAGGATTTTCAGTTTCTGTATTTTCATGTATCTGTGTTCTTGGACTTCTCCAGTGCACAGCACTGAGCTCCTGCTCTCCCATCTTTAGACAAAACAATTCCTCTCTGGGCCTGAAATCCAAGGACACTTCACTGCCTCAGAGCCCCAAAATATGGAACAACAGAGAATTGGGGGAGCAGGTTTGGGATGCGTGACATCATCACCTGAAGGTCTCATTGGAGAATTGGGGCCTGATGTGTGAATGAGACAGAACTGATAAAAGGTGAAGATCTCATGACTCGGGGTCCATTTTGGGGGTAGCCTCAGGAAGGGGCTTTGTCTGCCCTCAGTGTACCAGGGGGTCTGTTAGGCCTGGATTAAGGTTGTCTGTTCTCATTCTCTTAAGTTTGTCTGGCCTCTTAAGTTTTCCTGAAGAACAAAGGTGAATTGATGCTGGATTTTTTTTTGCTCCTTGCTGTACTCAGTGCTTGCTTGGAATCCATTTGCATTTTCAAGGGATTACTGCAAGGAAAGTTTGTTTTTCTAAGTCAGWACTGCCTCATGTTACATTTCCAGACCCAGGGAGTCTGTGTGGAACCAGAAACGGTTTAATGGAAGTTTTATGATTAAAGGAACAACAGGATTTGGCCCATTTTCTAGGAAATGACACCATGCTTGCGTTCGTCGTTATCCAGTTAATTGATAAATTGAGGCATCTGTTGAGGCAAAAAAAAAGGGAAAAAAAATCCRTGAAAAACTGCAGAGGAGCCTGCAAAGAAAAGCAGGAACTGCCTGGAGGCTGCTGCCCCTCCCTGGCTCCAGGCACTGCCTCATCCATGGCTCTGCCCAGGTYCCACAGCCTGAGCCAGAGCCTGGAGTTTGGGACACATTTGGGAATCCCTCAGCTCTGCAGAAAGGACAGAGGGATGTTTTTTGGGGGGCAGAAACACTCAAATCTGCCAGACTGTGTCTGCTTGGAAACGGATCGAGCCGGCCTGATCTGATAAAAATAAATTAATTCTGTTTCCAGGGGTTGCTCATGTTCCAGCACGGTGTGTGGGGGAGGCAGGGGCAGGGAGATAAAATCCTTGCTGAGACTTTTATTCCCAGAGGAGGAGGCTTGGAAGTGTTGGGAGCACCCCAGAGGGTGAACCCCAAACACCCAGCAGGGCCCAGGGGTGCCCACAAACTCCAAMCAGCCCTCATTCCAAAGGAAATGGGGGAATTGGTGCCTTTTYTTCCAAAATTTCCAAAATTCCCAAGCCAGAAAACCTTCTGGAATGTCCTGGATTTTTTTTTTTTTCTGCAGTTTCTGGGGGGAAAATCTGGCTCTTTGTGGGAGAGGATGATAATTCCAGCATAATTTTTTCCTGTTCTTTATCCACTGGGATCGAGGTGTGCCCATCCTCTCCTCGCTGCCCCTCTGGAAAGGGGGAAGGAGCAGGGGTGGGATCTCATTCCAAACCTCACTCTGTCTCAGAGGAATCATTTTTTAATGGAAAAWCCCTCCATCCTGTGGGACACGAGATGGGGAAATGTTGGCTCCTGGCGGAGAATCCCCAGGGCTCTGCGGGGTTGGGTGGTCAATGGCTCACGGCTTTTTCATCCTTTCTCGCTTTTGTCCATTTGCACATCAGGATTTGCTGAATCCTCCAATTGCAGCTGCAGCCAATGCAGTCAAAAACTCCAACTTGGCTCCCCCAATTCTCTGTTGTTTCCATCTTTTGGGGCCTGGCACAGGGAGGTGTCCTTGAGTTTGGGGCTGCAGAGGAATTGTTTTGTGTAAAAATGGGAGAGCAGGAGCTCAGCACTGTCTGTGGAGTCTGGAGTTAAACACTGAAGAATTCCAGGGGTACAGAGACATGGAAATAGAGAAACTGAAATCCTGAGGTGTCACTGGAGAGGGGACAAACCTTTGTCCAACCCTTGCTGGGCTGCAGAGGCAGCTCCAGGGAAGGATGGGGGAGTTGGGAATGGTGGAGGGGTCAGTCCATAAAAAAACAATCCCTTCAGGGTGGGAGAGGGGTGGCAGGAGGGGAATGTTGCTGTCTCTGCTGTATGAAGAGTTTTTCCTCAGCTGTTCCCACAGACACCCTCCTGAACGTCTTCCTGGCCATTGCTGTGGACAACCTGGCCAACGCCCAGGAGCTGACCAAGGTGGGTGGGACATCCCTGTCACCCCCAGTGCAGGTGACACCCTGAGGTGTCACCTCCTACACCTCTGGTTCCTTACTCATTTTATTTAAAAAAAAAAACAAAAACCCCTTTATTTTTATACCAGTCTGATTCCTTTGTGGCAGTTTGCCTTGCCCAGAGGTTTCTTCCCCTTCAGTTTTTTTTTTTTAATTTCAGGCTTGTTGCGGTGAATATTTTGTGTTCGGTTTATCCCAGAGCGAGCCCAGGTTGCTCATCTCCCACCTGCTGTTTCCAAGGGCACAGGAGAAGCAATGAACAGGTTTTTTTTGGCTGATGGGAAGCTCAGACAGGAGCAAACTCAGGTGTCATGGTGCCACTTTTCTGTCTCACACTTTCCTTACCTCGCCGAGGTTGGGGATTGATTAAAGAATTAGAATTTCCTAACCAGCTCCAGGCAGAACAATTTGCAGAGGACATTGTGAGCACTTGGGGAAGATGTTGGAATATTCCTGCCTCTCCCCAGGTGGATGAGGAATCARAGACCAGGCAGGAAGCCAGGTCCTGGTGAGGGATGGAAATGGCACCGGTGGAACTTCACTGGATGCAGAGAGCTGGATGTGTACACAGATTTATACTGGAGTATCCCCTCTGGAGAATATTTATATTTATTTATTATATATTTATATTATGTTGTATATATTCTATCGATTTATATTTATATTTTTTATTTTATCTTTATTTATATTTTATTTATATTTATGTTGATATTGGAGCATTCCCTATGGGCAACAACTCCCAGCTGGGGGTTTGAGCAGGGAGGATTGCGATCGCTGCATGTGGTATTTGGGTTTTGAGTTTTAAATTCTTGGTGTGCTCAGATGGATTTATTAGGAACATTAGGGTTGTTTTTTGTTTTTTTGGCACATTTTTAGCTTTTCTCACCCATTCCTGCGCTGCTGCATCGGTGCCAGTCCCAGTTACCTGCTGGGGGCAGACACAGCAGTGTGCCCATTGTCGTGGTTGTGTTTTACAATTTTAATTTCTTCACTCCTGCCAGTGGCAGAGCTCACTGGCCGTGTGCTCAGGCAGCAGCAGGCAGGGCTGGCTTCTGTTTTTAGGGAAAWGTGCAGCAGTTCATGGTCCTGGATCCCTGGCAGTGCCCAAGGCCAGGCTGGACGGGACTTGGGGCACCCTGGGATGGTGAAAGGTGTCCCTGCCATGGCAGGGGTGGCACTGGATGAGTTTTCAGTTCCTCCCAACCCAAACCATTCCATGGAACTGTTCCAAAAAATGTTAAAAAAATGCAGATTTGGTGCTCAGGGTTTGTGCTGAGGTTTGGTGATGRACCTGGCCCTGCTGGAGTCGATCCTTTCCAACCTTTATGGTTCTTTACATCCCCACCACAACCCCAGAGTGGAGATTTCTCCRTTTCCCACCCTCCTCCAGCTGCTGGAGACCAAAACAGCCAAACATTCCCAGTGAAAATCCTCATCCCAGTTGAAGCTGAGCTGGWTTTTGCCATCTCCCCTTCCCTGCAGGACTGGCTGCAGCTCCCAGCTTTTCTGGAGCTCTTTCCTTTCAGACCCTCCAAACATCCTGGTGTGAAATAAATCCTCCAATTCCATCTTCTGCATCCCTCCTCCCTTAAAACCGCTCAGGGCTGGATTTAACAGCTCTCTGTCATTTTGGGKKTTTTTTTTYCYTTTTTTTTAATGGGATTTTTTTYCCCTTTCAGCAGCTCATCTGTTTCTCTGCTTCTTAAAACTCCCAGAAATCTCCAGCCCAAAGATCCTTCCCAGATTTAGGGGCATTCCTGGCATGTGCAGAGTGGGGGGATCAGCCCTGCACAATTCCTGGCTGATGAAGCTCATCCTGTTCCTTTCTTAATCCTTTAAGTGCTTTCTGCTGAATATTTCAGCAGCTGACAGGGAGCGTTGGAAACCCGACTTTATAGATGTTGATAAAGTCGAATTAAATATTTATGGGTTCAGCAGCATCGCCAAAGCGTCTACAGAAATGTTGTTTTTTTTTTTTTTTTTTAAAAATGTGTTTTTGTGAGGTTTTTTTGTTTGGTTTGGGTTTCTTTTTGTTTGGTTTGAGTTTTTGTTTTATTTTGTGGGGTTTTTGTGGGGGAGTTTTGGTTTTCATTGTGTTTTTGGTTTTGGTTTGGTTTTGCCTTTTTTTGTTTCCTTTTTTTGTTTGATTTTTTTGTGTTTTTTTTTGTTTTGGTTTGGTTTTTTGGTGTGTTTGCTTTGTGGGATTTCTTTGGTTTGGTTTAGTTTTCCCTTTTTTGTTTTTTGGTTTTTTTCCTTGCTTTGTTTTTCTGGTGTGTTTCTGGGTTTTTTGTTGTTTGTTTTGATTTAGTTTTGCCTTTTTTGTGTTTTTGTGGGATTTTTT